AATTTTTTTATATTAAATTTATATACTAATTAATTTTTGTACCCCAGAATGCATCATATCTATACTACTAATATATATATATATAAATGTTGAAAGAAAAATAAAAATTATTATTATAAATAACAAAATATGTATATGAAAAAATAAGCATAAGTTAATTAAAGTAATACATTGTGCGAAATTCGATAAAATGCAAGATATGTTAAAAAACACTAAAATCAAGGCATTAATATCTGTCCAATCGTTTGATTAAGTACTTCCAGGCGGAAGGCAACCATACAGAATTTCTATAATTAATGCATGCATCATGCAATCTGCTTTTATATGTTTCAACTTTTTGGCCCAAATCTCCAAAGTCGGTGAATGTACTGGTTTAATAATACTTGCTTCATCTCATTTGACGATTGATCCCTCAACTTGAGCCAATTGCGATAGTATTTTGGCGTTAGATCCCTTACTGACATTGTATTTGTGTTCTTTTAATCTGACTCCTAAACTTCTACTAGTGACACCAATATAATTTTTATTAATGTCTAGTTCACAATTTTCATATGGAATCCTGTATACTCCTGCTCTTTTTTTTTTATCTATGCTATCTTTGTGATTCCTTATTAATTTGTACAGATTAGGAGCTTTCTTGAAAATTAACCTGGACTTTTTGCGGGCTGAGATTTCCTTCATAATGGCTTTTCCCTTTCTATCATACGTGAACTTTGTGATTTTGCCGAAATCACCGTTTTGCATTTTAGTTTTTTTGGTTTGTATTTTCTGATCAATGTTGTTAGCATATCTTCTCTGTACCCTAGAGATCTGGCAATACATAATATTCTATAAATTTCTTTTTGCCTATCCAACACACTACTGCAATAGAGAAAGGCCTTTTAGATAAGGGCACGGAAGGCAGTCATTTCGTATTGGTAAGGATCATTACAGTGGGACGGAATGTACAGAGGGCTATGCGTCGGTTATACGTACACGTTAGTGGCCAAATGTCCTTCTTTAAATTCAATGTCAACATCTAAAAAATGTATCCGTGAGGCACATTTTTGTTCAATCTTCAACATGAGACCATCATCGTTGCTGTTTATCATGTTGATAAACTCATCAATTTTTTGGTTATTCTTCCAAATTGCCAAGACATCGTCAACGTATCTTTTAAAATACACAATGTCATTTAAGAAAACAGGAAGAGCACTTTTTTCGAATTTTCTCAATACAAGCTCACACAAAAGTTTTGAGATGAGACTTTCCATAGGGACTCCTCTTCTTTGTCTGTACTGATGACCATTAAACGCGAAAAAAGATTCATAACAAATAAGATTAGCTAGTTCTATGAAATCATTATTCTAACATGCCAAATTTGGGCTCTTGCTGTGCATGAAACCTAAAAGTGCTACACTGCATGATTCAATTTTTATAGACAGGTATAAACTTTCATAGTCCATCACAGTTCCAATTTCATCGTCCATTAAAATTAGATATTGTATCTCATTAACCACCTCTATTGTGCCACATGTATATTATTCTCGAGGTGCGAGGGAGAAACTTATGTAATCTCTTTTCAAAAATAAACGTTGGTCCTCTGCACCTTTCCACTATAGGTCTCATTTCTTTATTCTCTTTATGGGTCTTGGCAAAAGCAAACAATCTAGGCATACCTGGCCTGGGATTTCGACAATTTTTGAGGAAAGGTGATGCATTAGTCAGCTTAGCTTTTTCAAGCTTTTTATCCCTTCTGTCGATGCTGTCGATAATCTTTGCTTCAACACTCTCGCATTTCGTTTCTTTAATATACTCCTCCAACGCGTTATTATATGTCTTCTTTTCATGATTACCAAAGTTTTGCTTTTGTCTGCTCTTGTTGTATCCAAATGATTTTTTCTAAGCCAACTTTTAGTAAGTTTGATGTTTTTACCGGCATCACATCCTTTTTTCCAGGTTGTCTGATCTTTTATGACCGTTTTCCATCGGATGTATTGTTTTTCTAAAGAATCTAGCCCAGATATCCCTCTCTCTATTTCCTTCTCTATTTTCTCTATTAAGTTCGATCTAGGTAATAAGAAATCTAAAAATTTTCACCACCCCACTTCGAATAAAAATATTCCAATCATTAGTGTCATTGAGGTTCTGCATGTAATATAATCTCTTCATAATATATATTCTCGGATAATATATCTTGTTACTTCAACAAGTTTTATAGTCTGTTTTACTTTATAAAACGAAAATTTTCCAGATGAACTCGGTAAAGCGCATTCTGAAATACAGCAAATTGAAATCGGAAGCCTCGTACGAAAGTTTGCCCAAAAAACGACCACCCTCGGACTGGCCACAAACAGGAGTAATTCATTTCGATAATGTTTCTTTACAATACTCCGAGGATAAAAACATTGTATTAAAGAATTTGACATTTCGTATTGGCTCGGGAGAAAAGGTAAAACGTCTGCAAATCAGAAGTGCATTGTTAGTAATTATTGTGTAAAATGGTTATTTATTATTTATTAATTGCAGATAGGAATTGTCGGGAGAACAGGAGCAGGAAAGAGTTCTATAATTGCTTCGTTATTTCGCATGACGGAGCCAACCGGAACAATCACCATCGATGGAATCGACACTAAGGAAATCGGTCTTCGAGATCTACGTAGTAAAATATCCATCATTCCTCAAGTAAATAAACACTAATTCGGTTAACATAAATCTTAGGTTATAATTTTCATATTTTTTATGTAAAAATGGTTTCCCTTTTTCATTCTTAAAAGTTTAATTTTTAAAATATGATAAAATACATCGTTTGTCGGTGTACAGTACTTCATGCTAGATGTTGAAACTGTATAGGTGTCAACCTACGATAGCATGAACTAGAGACCGAATCAAAACAACGTAAAGTACAAAAGAATATTTTATGGGTAGTCTGTTTTGGTTATTTCGAGTCCTTTCATTTTTTGCGTACCTAGTTGTTGCGGACCCGACAGTACTTAACAGTGGCGTAGCGTAGGGGGCAAAGGCTGTACCCTACACCACTGTTAAGTTATGGCTCCCTGCTTCGGGCCGCACTTTGCTAGGGTTGAATTAATATTAAGAATTGTTGAATTAATATTAATAAGTCTTTGTCCTATGGAGAAATGACAAAAAAATCAATCGGTTTATTCGTAAGATCAATAATAGCAATGACGGTCTTAAGTTGAAGATTGAACAGAAATGTGAGAGCCGGACTTGACGAAATTTTTAAAAGAAAAATTTTGTATTTCGAATGTTAAATTAGTTCAAATCCCAGCGAAAACAAAATTTTCAATTTAATTACCGGAGGACAATCGCATCTCCTTTCCCAGAGTCACTTTCTTTTCCAGGGGACTCAGAATGTGTCACCGGGAACTAACTTCATGTATTCACTATTAATCCAAAATAACTTAAAAAGAGGGCATCGCAACCAAAAGGGTGAGGACCCCGATATAAAAGGATTACATCGAGGACAAAGAAGGTTGTCAGAAGTCCGAGAGTTCACCGACTCTGTTCCGTTCTTAAAAAAGTCTAATATAACTGTGTTTCATCGCTAATCTCTTAGACTGTCGCTCCTGTCCAATGTTGCCGTTCTCCGAACATTCGGACTTCTCGATCCAAGAACCCAGAGCCGTAACTAGGCAGGTGCAACAGGTGCACCTGCACAGGGCCCACTTGGAAGGGGGGCCCAAACTGCTGTCCACAAGAAATTATAATTTTAAATTTTAAATTTTTCCGTCTTTCTACAGCGCGGTTTGGCGATTACATTTCGCTTTACTTAGAGCCTAGAAGTCTGCTCACCAGTGTTCCCAACTGTGACGACTTTTAGAGTGACGTAGTGAGGTAGCAGAGACCTCAGACAAATCAGCCAAAAGTAGCGACTTTTGATACTTTTTAAATTAATTTTTTGAGAAATAGAAATTTATGTTTATAGTTTTCAAATTTACAGATTTTTCTCTACTTTATAGAGCTTTCTGGCAACTACTAATATTATTAGGATATACAAAACTGTATTTCTAGATTTTTCTACAGTGTGCAGAGCTAGAAATCTGTAAAGGTAACATTTTGTAACAAAAATTAATCTGCCCGAGGATTTTTTTTAATTTAGTAAATTGAAAACCGTAACTCCTGAATAAAATCTTAGTCTCGAGGTTGTAAAAGACGTGCAGAAATTGTGACATCAATTTTTGTTTTAGTGGTATGCATATGTAGTGTATATTTGAACGGCGGATTAAACGGGCGCGTATGGCCCCGAAGGGGCTCACGCAGTCTTTAAAATGCTACTGAAAAAAGTGATTGCGGAAACGCAGAAGATACAAATAGTTCAAAAAATGCTTCGATAAATGGAAGTAATAAATAATATAGCTTTATGGCCAACAATATTAACAGATGCTATTATTGATCATATTCTTAAATATAAACCACAAATTATAGAAAAGGGATTTTTTAATAAACAGAAAAAAAGAGTTAAGATAATGGAAATAAATAAAACACCAGATGAAGGAATTAACTTGACACCGGAAAAATTATTTAATATACAAATTTACAGTATTCTTGACACTCTATTGAGGCAAATAGATTGGCATTATGAAGAAATGAAAACTATCTGTGACAAATTTTCCTTTCTCTGTGTCTCATCTTTACAATACATGATTGTTGCCGATTTAAAAGAATCGACTGCAGATCTCGCTATTACATATAGCAAAGATTTAAAACAGTACGAATTCACGAATTAAATTGAAAGTTTTAATTTTGAAGTAACGACATTTATACAAAATTTATAGAAACTGCATCTCCGCTTCATATTCTACAGGCTCTTCGTGATTTTGTTTAATTGAGTCTTACCCAAATATCAATGTCGATCTTCCTATATTTCTAACTTTTCCCGTTTCTATTGCTTTGTGCGAGAGAAGTGTTAGCGAGTTAAAGTTAATAAAAAATTATTTAAGATCAACTATCGAACAAGAACGATTATCCAATATTTCTATTATTTCAATAGAATACAATATAGTGGAAAATATTAATTACTAGCTGCAAGTTCCCGCTTCGCTGGGTTTTTATTTGTTCGTACATTTGTATGTAATATAGTATTTTTTATATATAAAAGACTGTTTTTCTAAGTAATTTAGAATCTAGCTGCAAGGACCCGCTTCGCTGGGTTTTTATTTGTGGGCAAAAAGTAACGATAGTGAAAATTAAAATATTTACATTATAGCCAATCTTACCCGTTTTCACAGAATGCAAGAATTAGGTCCCCCGTTTCCAGACTAATTAGAGACCTGGACCCGATTCTATTTCTGAACGTCAACTGTTCACGTCTAGTCAAACGAACTATTTTCAACGTTTCTGGAACGTTTACAATCGTTCTATAATCGAACCAATA